CTGTGCAGGATCCCATGTACCCATTCGGTCCATCACATGGGACTAAATTCAGCTTTGTACTGTTAAGACTAGTCCTGTTGGAAATCCCAGCTAAGGTCAAAAAGAAGCGCACAGTATATGTGGGGAATGATGGCAGTTAACACAGGAAGTCTAACCATTTCTAAACTTTTCCCTCCATTAAGCAAAAATAATCAGTATCATTATATTTTATACTTCGTGAAAGGAAATAATATTATGCACATTCTAAACATTAACAGATTCAAATTTGCTTTCAGCATGAAATGTGAACATTTTAGTGTAAGGATTACATGTATTATGTTTTACTAGCTGTTGAATACATGGAGTTCCAGATAGTTAATTCCAGCAAGGAGAAATATCTTGTGATGTGTTAAAGGTAAGGAATGAAGCACTTCAGAGGATCAGAGGGTAATGTTTTCCATAACTTACATAAATCATGACAAAGGATAGCAAAACAAAGCTACCACTGGGATGGGTGAGGGTACTCATGCAAGAGTACTGTGCCTTTACTCACAGTAATCTTGATTTCAGCTTCTCAAAAGTATTTTACCATGGTTCAGGAAGTCCTTAAGCCATAGATTGTTGGAAATTGAGAGAAAATACCAGAGAAGTATCAGTATAGACTTACTTTGATCTTGACATTTTTGCCAAATAAGGTGTCTGAGCTGGTATGTTCTTACATTTTTAAGTTAATGGCTAAATCAAAAAAAAAAAGGAGCCAAAAGAAGGAATTAAAGCAGAATTTAAACACCTAAATCCAGCACTGAAGTAAATAGGTTCCTTCAGCTCCTGTCCAGTCCTAGGGGCACCTAACTCAGAAGGTACCTACCTTCAATCTCCAAGAACCTCAAATGCACAATAGTCAGCTTGGACATGTGCATGGAACTTCCATCTCCTCAGTGGGTTTCAGTCCTCCTGAGTCCTGCCAGGGTTATGGATTTGGTTGGTTCAGCTCCTGTTGGACATGGAGCAAACCACCTGTTTCAGTTCACAAACTCAGTTTGTGCTGAGAATGTGCAGCTGAGAGACGAAAAAAAAAAAAAAGTAAACCTTCTGAGAGAAAAGAAAGCAAGACAGTGCAGAAGAGTCCTTAGTTCCGCAGTTGGGATGGTCCTTCAGGAAGAGGAATTGTGTGTGCCAAAGCCACCCACTCTTTCACACTGCATTTGCACCTCATCTTCCTGACTAGAATTCACAAACAACTCTTGGAGAAAGACTGAAACTCCAGATCAAGTAGGTGCTCTCACCACTAAACTGAAAATTATACTCACCTTTAGTCTTCCTCTTCTTATAGCTCAATGAATCTTTAATTCTTTTTAAGCAAAGAGGAACAGATTCAGTGTAAGGGCATGCAGTGCTCTCCTCCCTACTCTCCCCATCTCCCCTGAGTATCCTGCACCTCGGTAGGTTTTGGTAGCCCCTCAGGGAACACAGGTAGGTATTTCTCAGGCAGCAAATCAAGCTGAACTCAGATCTCCTCCTTGTTACCCTGCTGAAAACCTCCCTGTGAAATACAGATGGCCAGCCACAGCCTGGAGGAGTGTCCTGTGTTTGCCTTGGGATGGACAGACTCTGCTCATGTCCTATAAGGTGGCTCAGCCCTGGGGACAGATGTGGTTTGAAAGCTCATCCCTGAGCTCCTTCAGTCATCAGCTTGTTTTCTTTGTGTCTCTTGGGAGGGGGCATAACCAGCCTGTGGAATTATTCTTCCTTCCTCTGCCCCTGTGAATATTTCACTATTTTTACAGCAGAATAAATCCTAGAGAACAAGCTGAAGAAAATCCAACTCACAACATCCTACACCTAGAAGGCTGAGACAACTCTCATGGAAGACTGGAAAGATAATTTAAGAAACCTGCTCCAAATCTGGTAAGCAGTAAAACACTGGAACAAGCCTCCAACGTGCCAGGTATGTATGGGATATACAGATATACAACTGCCTTGTGTGTACTAAGTGTATGCAATAGTCATGAGAGGCCCGATCCAACAGACACTCCAGAATGACTGTGGGAAATGGATCTGATGAACTACGACATCTTTTGAAGGTTACTAGCACCCCAAAGTGGGTAACTCTCCCTTGAATCAGAAATTCAGGAATGGAAATTAATATGTTCCTTGAATTTTGGATCTGCAATCCAAAGTGTCTGGGTTCTTGGCTGTCTAAATTTGGGAACTGTGTCTGACCTGTCAAGTACTTCCCTGAGGGGTGAGGTTCCTTAGTCTTTACACCACATCTGAAAATTGAGTTTCAAGTTAGATCCACATAAGCTTTTCGGTGCTTAACTATTGCTTTGGCCAACAGCAGCAATCACCAAAGCTCCTGTTCAGCCATCATCTAATGTTGAGGTCCAGACACCCTTTGTGTTTCACCAGGGATGTTCTGTGGGTGCCTTTATCCCTCTCTGGGCATGTCCAAGGCACTTGAGTCTTGCCAGGCCTGAGCAGCCTGCTGTGAAGCACCTAACTCTAAAGAGGGGCTTTGGTACTTGTCATCTCAAACTATGAAAGGTACCTACTTGCAAGGCAGGCAGTACTTCCAACACTGCCTGACTAGCTCATTTGGTAATTCCCTGCTCCTTGTACTGCTGTGGTGTATGCCACTGCATATGGAAACCAAGCTCCTAAAGGCATAGTAGCAGCCTGTATCAAAATTGTAAACTGAGTGTTGCCACGTACCTTTTTGCAACTATATTCCTAATTACTATTGTAGTATCAGAAAGTCGTACCAGCTGCCTCAACGATCACAGTGCTACTACACCTTGGGGCACAAGACGCATTACATCAGTCAGGCAGTAACTCCAGGTCTCCAGGAATATAGATCCTACTGGAATTATACATTAAAGTCACACTGTGTTTACCTTAAAGCAATCTGAAGAAGGATTAACTCGGTGATCAGTCCATCTCACCACATCACAGAGGAGTGATTAAATTATTCCCAAACAAAATTGCCAGAATTTGACACCTAATTTAACTGCTGATATCTCTGTAATCTTCTCTGCCTACTTGTTCAAGCGCTTAACCCTCCTTGTTAAGAACCGCGCCAATTTTGTCCTGCAGAAAGCTAGAATATATTTCTTCTTCGTCTGTCCTTGCTGATCCGTGGGAATAACAGACCCCCTCACATAAAATGATTTTGGCTTTGCAGAAGGGGCTGGGGAGCCTCTATTTGGAGTACAGTTCCCAATACCGGTCACCCGGTCACCTCATTATACAAGTGAGTTGCTGCAAATAGGGAAGTTGCAACAGAGACCAAATGATACAAGAACTTAATTACTGAGAAAAGGGTTAGAAAAGCTACAGTGTGGCTGCTGCCTTTGGAAAACAGCAGATTAAACAGTCACTTCAGGGGGGTTTGCAGAGCTCTGAGGGAATAGCAAGGATTCACTTACACGGGGAGAGCCGAGGTAGTGACAAATACCAGAACAAAAGAGAAATTAACAGAAGCTTAAGTAGGGATGATCAGCAAAGCAGTGTAATTTATTTGGGAATTTATTTGTATTTAGCACAGTTAATATATGGAAAATTATACTAAGGCTGGAACAGAAACAACTATTAGAAATCATTTTACAAGGCTTTAGACAAGCGTAGGGGCTTAAAATAACTCTGTGGGATGCAACTCATAATTCAGAGGAGAGGAAAAGGACTTACATCTTTGTCACAATCTTGTCTCTTAAAACATTTAGCTCCATTGTGCTAAGTAATAGACATGGTTACTTTAATATGACTATATATACAATTCTCAGGGAAAGGTTTTAATTTACAAGATTAATTTCCTTTCCAGCTTTAAATACATAGATGTGGGGGAAAATAATCAGAAAGACTTGAGGGGTAGGGCTGAATCCTGATCTCAGCAGCAGCAGAGCGAAGCCTGAATAACTCCAGGAAAAATGCTGGACGCATGCAGGGATGTAACTGAGCTGAGATCTGGTCCTGAAGTGTGTGCACTCCACACAGGAAAATCTTGACGTCCCCCCTTTACATTTCAAGGAAAGCTAACAAAAGAGTCCCAAGCCCTTTTAGAGCATTTCTACAATTCTTGGAAGAAGCCTGTATGTTCCCATTTGCACACGATGCCTCCAGGCCATCAGTTCCAGCAGACGCTGGATCAGACTGGGCGGCTCGTTCCCTTCGACCTGCAGCTCTGCCTGTTTTAAGACCAAACAGACTGCCTTCAGCTCTGGCGAACCCGCTGGGAATTGACCCTTCTTACACAGCAAGGGAGCGGGGGACACCGGAATGTTGCCCTGAGGCAGTCCGTGTAATCACAGTTAGGCTTTTTTCTTTCCTTCCAGGACGGGTGCTTAACCTGCCGCTCGGAGACGCGTGGGTAAGATCCCAACTTTCTCTCCAGGGGAGATCCTCGCAGGCAGTTAACGATTCCAGGGCTCCCGCTGTGCTACCACCGTTTACTCGGAAAATCAAAGGCAATTAACCATACTTTCCTCTGGGGGAAAAAACCTCTTGATTTGGACCCGTCATTACGCAGGGAAACCTACAGAACACTGTGCTGTAATCCAACATGAACTCTGCTAAAGGTATTTCTTTCTAGGGTTCCCCTTCCACTTGGCAAGCCTTGCCTGCCTTCGGGAGACCGGGATGGGATTTGGTTACACTTGGATGCGTTGAGGAGCAAGATCCACACGCGATGTTGTCCCGCTCCTTTTTTGGGCCGCCGATGCTGGACGGGGGGAGCCCGAGGAAGACACGGGGAACACTCCAGGGTGACCTGTTGCCTGTGCGGGGGTTTCCCCGACCCCCTCCCGCAGAGAGTGGTGCGGGTCGGCGGCGGCAGGGAGCTCATCCCGGCAGGACAGGAGCTCCGGCCGCCGTTCGGGCAATCGCGGACAGAGAGGGATGAAGGGATGCAGGGATGCCGGGAGGAAGCAGTTTCAGGCGGCAGGTGAACGGGGCAACGCGATGCATTCCCGACCGTCCCGCTTCAGCGGGGCGCAGTTTGGGCGGTCCCCGCAGTGACTCCGCCGATGACGGTGGGGCGGGCGCGGTCCCCCCGCCTCTCAGCAGTGCCAGAGGGGGGCCGGAGTGCCCGGGGAAGTGCGGGACGCCCCGCCGCCTCTCTCCTCCCCTCCCCTCCCCTCCGCCCGCCCAGCCCGAGGGGCCGCGCCGCCACCGGCGCTCGGCGCTGCGGGCGGTCGGGCGGCGGCAGACGGGCGCATCATCGCGGACCGCAACGACGGCGGCGCCCCGGAGCCCCCCCGGCGGCTCCGCCCCGGCCTCTCGCAGGTGGGTCCGCCCGCCCCGCCCCGCTTCTCCCGGCTCCGCGCCCCCCACGTCGG